ATTCACCCACGCGCACTGGAACTTTTTGAAAGAGATCTTTTCTGAAAACCACTCCCTTTTTTCTTTTCCATTTAAAATTCATATTTTTTGGTCACGATTTCCCCTGAACGAATTCTGCCTCACTGTTGTATCCTAAAATTAGCTGGTGGGCAGCAGGAGAGAAAAGAGCATTGGGCCAGTGACCAGGAAATGCAAGCATTAATCCCACCACTAACCATGTGGCTTTGAGGAAGGCTTGTCCTCTCATGGGGACCCAGGGTCTTCAGCTATAAAAGAAGTCCACTGCTTCAAATATAGAGTCCAGCTTACATCTGTTACCCTTTTTACCGCTCCAGTTTTTAAGTGGTTTTAACGACGCTTAAGGGTTACAACGTGGGAAGCTTTCAAAGAGCAAGTGAGTTTTAGCCTAAATGAATGTCCCAGTAGTCCGGTTTTCCAGGCAGTGCCAATCAGAGCTGTTTCTAAAGGAAGGTTTACCTACTGGCTTCATTGTGCTGCAAAAAAAAAAAAAAAAAAACCACGAAGCATTTTAAAGGGATAGTGTTGTAATATGGTACTGGGAAATTTCCATCCAATCGAGGCATTTCTCATATTCACATAGGTATTCCTTGCATAAATATTCACTGAGCACCTACTGCATGGCAGGCATAAGTAGACAGTGAGAACCCAGCTGTACACAGAGACAGGGCACTCATTCTCATGGGATCTGGAGTATCTGAGGAGGGATAAATAAATACACAAGATAATTACAGATGGTGACAACTGCCACAAAGGAAATAAAGAAAGGCTGTGCTCAAAAGGGTGGGAACATATTCTGGTTATGGGAAGCGGGCCAGGCCTCTCAAAGGAGGTGACATTCCCTCTAGATCTAAGCAATCAAAAGGAGTGGGCCATACAGAAAACCAAGAAGATTTCTATCTCAGGAATATAGGAAGGTCCTGGCCCGGAAAACTTCAAAGGAGACAGTGGCAGACACCCAGAGAGAGTTAGGTAGGCTCTGACGCTAGGGCTGTGCCAGGGGAAACACAGGGAACAGATAGGAGATGGAGAATCAAGACAGAAATGCCAAGACTCAGTGGTGGAGTGAATGTGGTGAGTGAGGACGAAAGAAATTATCTCAGTTCTTGACTGCAAGAAACTGAGTGGCCATTGGCATCCATTGACATTAGAGATTACATTGGAGCAATAGGATGTTTTTGGAGAGAGACTCAAGAGTCCTGTTTTGAGTGTTCTGCACTTACCATACGCATGATACATCCCAGGGGATCTTCAAGGAGGCAATGGGAGGTAGAAACCTGGAACTCAGGACAGAAGACAGGGCTCCATTTAAAAATGGAAGCATTGTTTGTGTGAATGGCTGGCATTGGTCTCTGACTACATTAGGCAGTGATTTTTCAGTCCTGCCTGTATATTAGATCACATGGAGCTTTTATAAAAAGATAACTTTTCCCCATAGCCTACCCTAAGCATTTAATTTAACCCATTCACTCTGGGACCTGGATGCCCATATCTTTCCAAGCTTGAGGAAGGCTTTTCCTATTCAGTCAATCTGGAAGGGTGACTGTCCTTGGGAGAAGGTTCAGCTAGATGAGAATTTCCAGGACTATACGCTTATACAGTGCTCCCTCCATATGTCTATGTGGTTTAATGAGCTGTTTTCATGTGTGTGTACAGGTGGGTATTCTTGTGCTTGTGTGTGTGAGTGTGTGCATGCATGTGTGTGTGTGTGCATGTGTGCATGTGTGCATGCGTGCGTGCGTGCGTGCGTGTGTGTGTGTGTGTGTGTGTGTGTATGTGTGTGTGTACATGTGGAGGTCTGAGGTTGACCTCAGGATTCTCCCTCATTTTCTGGCCATCCTCTTCATTGAAGCAGGGTCTCTCACTTGAACCCAGAGCTCACCGATATGGGGTAGTCTTGCTGGCCAGTTTGCTCCAGAGATCCCATGTCTGTGTCTTTTGAGGGCTGGAATTACTGGGCCCCCACGCTCACCCAAACTTACTGGGTTCTGGGGATCTGAACTCTTGCATGGCAGGTGGGTGATCTATCTACTGTGTCACCTCCCCAGTTCCTAGAGTCTTTCACCTGGAGCAATAACCCAGAAGTTGCCTGCTCTTTGCATTTGCCTCCTGCTTGGAACAGCTCCTCTTGGGGGATGAGTTAAAGTTCAGTTCTCCAGACAGTACGACCAATTACTCTGTCATTGTCTGAGTCTGTGATTCCTTTGTCCCCTGTGTTCTTGGTGTCTAGAAGGGTTACTTGGGTGCTGGTGACCCCAGCACAACTTTTAGCGCATCATTTGAGCTCACCCTGATGTGGTTTAGCAGCAGCTACTATTTGTCATGGTTGAAAGATGAAGAACCTGTTTGGCTTTTGTTTGGCATTGTGCTATAAGAATCTTGTTTTGGTTGTGGTGGCTGCTAGGAGAGAGAAGAGAAACACGGGGACAATGCATATGCTTCTATATATTGGCATCTTCTGATAGATGCTCTATGGGTTATTCTAGGTTGTAGATTCGTAGTGGCTGTCTTTTAGGATGACTTAAAGAGTCATTGAACCTTTAAAAAATTCCTGCTGTTAAAAGTTTTTACACTAAAGGGCTATTCGAAGCCCATTCCTCTTGTCTGCATTCTCCTCATAGGAATAACATTGAGTTAAAAGTAAATAAAAATGTGCACACATCTGCATACCTTGAACTCACATCCTTGTGTACAAATGTCCATCCATGTAAGATTACATAGCCTTCTCTCTAGCCTTCAGGGAATTTGATATCCCCAAAAGTGGCTCGTTAAGAAAATAACTTACAGAACCATTCCAGAAGCATTTATAGTTGTGTCAAAATTATAGAGGGGGAGGAATTGAGGAAGACAGACAGAGAGAGAGAGATTCTATGAATCTGACTGTGACAAGCATTTGTGTAATAATTCTCTGATTGTGAAATTAGCTAGACCCAGGGAGCTATGCAGAGAGAAGTTTAGTACATTAAACTAGAGCCATTTCTTGTAATGGATGAGTTATTTTTCTAATTGAACTTTGGATAATCTGTGTAGTTACATTGAAAACTAGTCTTGATCTCTCATGGACTCACTTCTTAACTGTCCTAGGCACTTTGAGTCACCAGTGGTAGCTCTGGGAGGAAGGTAGAAAGTCAACATTGATAGTATCCCATGATGAATAGAAAGCTCATCTCATACATGTTAGAGCCAAGCTAGCTAATAATAGAGGGCCACGACCTCATTACCCTGCCTGAGCAGGCCTAGGTCACTTTCATCTACGCATGATTTATTAACTCGGATCTAAGGGTAGTTTGGGGTCACCTCTAAAAACCTTTAAGTTTCTAAAATCTATTTGCAATCTGTATAAAATGGGGGAAACAACAATTAACAACGGATATCCTTTGTTTTTTTCCTGATCATGTTTTCAGCTAGGTCTAGTCCCTCTGTTACAGCCAATGCCCAAAACACACACTGGCAGGAAATGGGGTGGTGGGTGCATTTCAGTTAATGGGCTCAGTTGGAACATGTTTGGCTGTGGAGACAGCTACACTCATATTACCAAGCCTTGGCTTCCTGTCTGTTTTCTTTGGGCTTGGTAGGCAATGAAAAAGGAGACAGGAAAATACATTTTGGGGCAAATAAAATAAGGAATTTGTCTTATGAAGACAGCTTATAGTTGGGGAATTCTAATATTCAGATTAACCCTCTCCTGACACTTTATCCCCCTTGTCCTGTACGAAGGGGAAGGTAAGATGTGACACCACTTACGGTAGTGACACCCATCCCTAGGTTTATTAATAATCCATGTTCACTGTTTTCTCTTTGAGTAATAATACAAACTCCCTTAGTTTTGCTTCCAAATGCAGTTTTTAAAACTAGTCATTGTTCCAACAATGTCCCTTGTGTCAGCTGCTTGAGCATGAGCTCTGAAGTGCTGAGCAGCAGATAGGGGCTTCCTAACATAGCTCTGCAAGACAGGGTTTCTCTGTGGCTTTGGAAGCTGTCCTGGAGCTAGCTCTTGTAGACCAGGCTGGTCTCAAACTCACAGAGATCCACCTGCCTCTGCCTCCCGAGTGCTGGGATTAAAGGTGTACGCCACCACCGCCCGGCTTCTTTGATCTATTTTAATTTGAACATTTCTTTACAACTTGAATAAACCAGAAGAAAGAAAAGGTCTCTCTCTCTCTCTCTCTCTCTCTCTCTCTCTCTCTCTCTCTCTCTCTCTCTCTCTCTCTCTCTCTCTCTCTCTCTCTCTCTGTCTCTCTCAAATAATGGGGTAGTGACATTCACCTATTTAGCCCACCATTATTTTCCATTTTCTCAAATAAAACTACAGTAGTAGATTTAAAATCAAACATATTCGACTTAACAGGGTCCATTATGTGCTTTTGGGCCTTGGCATATCTCTGAATATGCAGATCACTTTTGACAATTGGATTGTCTTTGCTTTTGTTTCTTCTCTTCCCCTACCTGCTCTCGTCTCTTTCCTTTTCTCCTTGTTTCCTTTCTGCTTTTCCTTTTGAGTTTTAATCTTTTCACAAGGAATAGGTAGCTGTAACATAAAAAAGAAAAGCTCACTATAGTCACTATGGAAAATGGTCTTCAGAATGTGTTTGCCTCGTTCTTCCCCAGTTTGGTGACAGTGTAGCAGACTCCCTGAGCCTTCTGATGGGGAACCCCATCACGGAACAAGAAAGGTGCCCTAGAGAACATCTACTTTTCCCTTTCTTTCATTGACAGGGCTAGAGGAGGCTCCCAGAGAGTTCCCTTTGAGCTCTTGACTCCACATCACCCTTGGGACCCTCCATTCCCTCTATGTAGACAGTTAAGGATGCTTGCCTCCCTATGATGCTCAAAGAGCAGTTTGCACAGTCACATCATAATAAATATCAGTATTGATAATTCCTTGGCTTAAACCACCCAGTATGTATGTTCACATATCTATTTAGCATGGTCAATTGTTCAGCTAATTAATATGCTTTTATTTTATGATTTGCTGTTTCCAGGGCACAGACAGAAGCTTGATGACTCTAAACCTAGTTTGTTCTCTGACCGCCTCAGTGATTTAGGGCGCATCCCTCATCCCAGTATGAGAGTAGGTGTCCCGCCTCAGAACCCACGGCCCTCCCTGAACTCTGCACCAAGTCCTTTTAATCCACAAGGACAGAGTCAGATTACAGGTAAGACAGACGCATAGGTTTCACTTGGAGTCTGGCAGACTGGGGGTGAGGGGCTAACAGATAAGACATGTTCATTTCATGTCTTCTGGAGCTGTGGATTGGCGTGTTGTGAAAGAATTGAGATGCAAAGATACTGATTTCTTTCTTCGTTAAGACCATTTTGACATTCAGTCACTTTGGGATAAAAATTGGGAGATGGTGTCTGCTAATGCTATACTTTGCAGCCATGCCATGTACGCTCTGGGGGGCCGGGAAGACCTGTGCTCTGGGAATGTATGCTATAAATTCTATATTGTATCCAGGTGGTGCAGGCACTTACACCCTCGATATTAGAAGATTAGCGCTACTGACCCTGATTTGAGCTTACATTTCTTACATGGATAACTCTTTCATTTAGTCTGATTCAAAATTGCCCAGGGCTAACAGGAAGCCTTGATTGGTAGTTATAAAGCAGGCCAATGAGTGGCTCAGGCAGACAGAACTCACTTCTGATTCATGTTTAGCTCCGGTTCTCCACACCACGTTTCTTTTTTATACGTTCCACTGAGCTGTTCTCTTTATGATTCTTCTTAGTGTCAGCATCACTCGTATGCGATACATTAAGATCCCAGCTCTCTTTGTGTGTTCTGTCCCACTGGTGAGCAAAAACAGATCTTACTTTAGGACAGGTTTGATGGCTTTTAGGTCCCAGTAACAAGAATATATGGATCATGGCAGATCTTCAATTTGTGTACCAAATTATTGAGATGTTAAGGAATAGTACATCATCTACTTGCTGTCTTGGCTAGAAGCAGACTAGACTAGTGAGAAAACAAGTCAAAACAAAATATACAATACATCTTAAATCGCATCTGTTTTTGTTGGCTACGGTTTCCTCTGTAGTGGGTAGACTTGAGTATCCACAGTGGTCTCAAAACATAAGTGTTCGTGACCTACCTCTTCCTACTTTCCTGCCCAGGTTATGCAAATGTATCCCTGGATATTTCCTTTTTCTTTCTGTGGGTGTGCTCAATAAATGAATGCACTTGCCTGAACATGCGCTTTAAGGAGCAATACGAAATCGTAAAATATAATATACGTGAGCACAGGGTATCTGCATATAGAAGAGTGTTGGTGCTCTGAGAAGAATGAGCACATTTTGACCTAGCATACACAGAGTGTATGAGGCAAAAGGCTAAAATGTGCACCAGAAATACTGATGCTAAAAGAGCAAGGGTGAAATTCACACTAGTTTGTGAATGCTATGCAACGAACTGGACTTGCATTAATTGATTGAAATTCAAAATAGCCATCTTATAATAATTCTTAGACTCTCTCTCTCTGTGTAAGAGAGAGGTATGTGTTTATGCATTATTTGTAATTGTGAATAATTTTATATACATCTACACATAAATTGTTTAGGTTAGTAACCACTAGGCCACTTTAATTTTTATGTCTATATTCTAATCTTAAACTATTTGTTAATATATTAATGACTAATGGTTTTAACTTTTTTAAAATTGTATGTGTGTGAGTGTTTGCCTGCATGTATGTATGTGTCCCACAGGCATGTAGTACCCTCAGAGTTCAGAAGAGGGCATCAGATCCCCAGGAACTGGAGCTGCAAATGGATGTGAGCTGCCATATGGGTGCTAGGAACCAAACCCGAACTCTCTGTAAGAGCAGCAAGTGCTCTTAGCTGCTGAGCCATCTCTCCAGCCCCTACTATTGGTCTTAACAATGGTCCCTTGAACCTGGTTAATGTTAGATTCACTTAAGAGGCTTAAATCTAAAGGTGAAGTCATAGGGAGGCTCTGGAAGTCTAGAACCTGAAGGTGCTTTAGACATCATTAAACCGGAGATTGGAAAGATGGCGGAGAACATCCCTATGCGTAGATGTGAGAGTGATCCTCTGAGAATGTAGGGGTGTATAGAGGACAGAGCATCAGCGCATCAGGTCAGCAGTGTGACTCACTCTGCAGAGCTAGCCTACCCCCAGTCAGAAGCTTTCCTCCACCACCCTCTTGAGAGGGCCAGGAGGGCTGAGCTCCTTGCTTGTAGTTGCTCAGCACATTAGTGGCAGGATAGTCAATATTCCCTGAGTTTATTTCTTAAAAGGAAAGTATGAAACTCCATAGGTATTGATAATATCATAGTTCATGTTATAAAATATCAGTTCTTCATTTGGGGTCTACGGCACTGGTTGAATCAGTTAGAGAGTAGTTATTGTCACTGTCTTCCTCATCTTTGTCCTCCAATCAAAATAGCTTTCCTTCGTTTTCCCGAATGTGAAGGTGTACACGTATATTGTGACACACTCTGCTCTTGATTTTGTAAACTTTACATTTCTTTAAATGCCCTCACATTGCTAGGGAGGCAGCAAAGATAGCTCTGCGTAGTCAAGGATACACTGGCTCTCTGAACCCAGACAAGTAGGAAATCCAGGATAGTAGCTCCGTCATGAAGAATGGGCAGATTTAGTCCCAGGAGTCATCTCGCTTACTTAGTAAGTGTGCCTGTGAGAATACCACATGGAGAACTCCCCTTCTCTGGCACTGCAGAGGGCAGAGGACAACACTGTCCTTCATCTACTCCAGTTGAAGAAGGTGACTGGTGTCTCTGCTCTCACACGCCACACTTTTTATGGTAGTCCGTCTACTGACGAGCTTCAACTCCTCTGTAGGTCTCTTCATTATCTTCCTTTGTCCAAAGGCTCCCCTCCGTTGTCTGAGTGTTCGTAGGGATGACCCTGTTTCCTAGCTTCAATGGCTTTGCTTTTCTACTGACTATCATAACTTCTCCAATGCAGAGTCTCACTAAGCGTTGACCCAATGAGAATCCAACTGAGAGGAAGTTGGTGCAAAAAGGGGCTAGTATATCGCTTTTCTTGTCAGAGTGGGTTGTGCCTTCCTAATTTCTCATCTAGGCTGGTGTTGTTTCCCGAAGGCGAAAAACGGCAGAAATGGCATTTCTGTATTAACACTGTGTAGTTAAACTGTTTGGCTTCACACCACAAGGAACCCTAAAACTCACCTTCTTGGGACTTGCCTCGAATGGTAATGTCTTTGCGGTATTCCATGTCTGCACCCTAGTTCCTGTAGTCCTCAATTCACAGGTGTTTGTAACAGGGCCTGGCTCTCCCTCATTAGTTTGGTGCTCTTGAATTGTCACCCCCAAACAGCCCATAGTGGTCCTGGTTGTACGCTCACCTACAGTCCTTTGTCGTGCCCAACATCAGAGGCAGATGACTTCGTCCAAGTCCCAGAATAGCAAAATGAAATTCAAGGGAATCGTTAGCACTTAGTGTTTCATAACTAGCTTTTTCTACAGTCTCTTGCAGTTCCTAGGGCCAAAGGTTCTGGTCATGTGGTGGGCTGGCTTCTTTGCAGTGCCAGGCTGGTGGGGTCACTCTGTTGAAGTGAATCTTTGATGGCGATGGCTCATGTTCTTTCTACTCGAGGGACCAGGGCCTCCCCACAGTTTCCTGAGGAAGTTGCCTCCTCCCCACCTCTTTTTTTTTTTTTTTTTTTTTTTTTTTATCATACTGACATCTGCTGCCTGTCTCTTGGCATCAGGAAACACCTAGTCTGTTGCAAACATCAACTCCTTTTGACTCAGCATGCAGCGATGGCTGTGGAGGTGAGGATGTCGTACGAGGAGGCATCCCCCAAGACAGTTGCTGTTTTAAATTCTCTGTATGACACAGCTATCCGTAAAAGTAATTTTCTAGTGTTTTAAGCCCTTGGTCTTAGTGGGATGGAACATTGATCTCATCATGGGGCGGACAGGATGCACTACTCTTCTCTTAATCATTCATGCAAGAAGTTGATTGATGCTTCATCCCTGTCAGGCGTTATTGGGAGTGAATCAAATAGATGCAGTTTTCATATGGATTTTATGCTTTCTTTGCAGTATTTCATATCTGCACTCTTAGCTCGTGTACTTTTCCATACAGGGCCTGCTTCTCTCTCGTTAGCTTACATTTCCCTGACATTTACAGGCAGTAAAGGAGCAGAAAGAGTACACAAGAGATCGTTTTGAATAATAAGTGCCTGAGGAAATGATACGAGGCGCCCAGGCGCTCTGGGTAGGGTGTGACCCACGGTCCAAAGGTAGAAAGAAGACTTATTTTCAAGATGCTGATGGAGCTGATACTGAGGGGAACACAGAACTTGAGGCTTTTCGACTTAGCCACCTAGAGGATAGTGATGTCGTTTTCTGACTGGGGGAGTGTGTAGCTGTTTCTTAAATGTTTAGTGAACATGAATTTCCCACACACGAGGATGCACTATGGCAGTGGTTTATTTGTTTGTTTGGGTTGGCTCTGACTACCCTTTCAGTGGTCCCTCGTCCAGGAATAGATTCTTGAACATCCACTAGACGGGCTGTTGCATTATTTACCGTGGCGTTCTCCTGGTAGGATATACCTGCCTTTCATCTGATGCTTCACACATGGTTCCTTTAGTAACATGTTCCTGTATTCCTACTTTTCTTTCACTGGTACATTCTTCTGTGTATTGTCTCCCCAAAGACACTCTTTGTTCCAAACTTGGATCAATTGCTGCCACCTCTGCCAGGCCCCTTCCGACCCACTCACCGAGTCAGGTTCCCTTGCTACCTTGTGCAATTCTCTCCATTACATCATGTTTCATGTGGGGACAATTACATGGATATATACTGTCCCTTGCATCAGACTTTCTACTTTTCAAAGGCTGAGGCCATGTTTTATTCATCTTTGTGTCCCTGTTGTCTTCAGTAATGCCCCCGGCTTGGTAACTTTTAGTTCCATGATAAATGAATTAAAAATGTCATTGACTTCTTCAGGAAGTGTGATTCAGTGTTATCCTAGACTTAGTATTTTTGCAATTCCTAATATCGCTCATGTATTGTTGCATATCGCGAGTCAGGCATTGTTCCAAGAGGTTAAGTCACATGCCCCTCTGCACAATGGGTCTTTTAGGTAGGTGGTATTATTGTAGAATGTGAGGGCCAAAGAAATAAAGCAACCCACCCAGGATTCC